ATGGAGAGCCACGTGCGAAAGCGACGAGATATGAACACCTATTGAGGCAACCAGGAAGCAAGCAAGCTAGAGATGCCTACAACCCGGGTAGAAGTCGCCAACTGTGCCCAAGAAAAGCTAGCTAGGTACGTATGCAAAAGGCTATCGTAAGGAGGGTCCACACGGTTGTCCTCCGGTCCTAAGGTCACTAACAACCCCGGTACAAGTGCTGGCGGGCGCAAGTGCGTGGCCTGGCACAGGGATACCTGAAACCCCGTACGCCTCGAAAGCGCAATAGGGTGCTACACGATACTAGATACTAGACTAAAAGCGCTCACGGGCACAACTGTGCAAAGTCACCGTGGCAGCAGTGTCGGCGGGCACAGTCAAGAGTTTAGGAAAGTGGAGGGGATGCACGGGCAGAACCGAGTGTCGACAGAGAGGGATGATGGGTGCGCGCAGGGATAAACGTCAACACAAAACTTCGGTCAGAGCGCAGGGCTCATAACCTGATAAACTCGGGGCTGTGAAGACAAAGATTAGATCCGACTAGAGTCAAAGCAAGATCTTCAGTCAGTAAGGAAAGACTTAAGAGGGAGGACGCAATCTGAAGTCCTTATATACTACAGAGAAGTGTCCATGACTAATCGAAGAGTGGTTAGTCACATGTACCATAGTGCGATGAATAATATGATGGTGAAAGAATTGCGACGTATTGCACCATAGGATGAGTAAGAGATGAGTAAGGCATAGACCTGTCTAGACCGTTCTGGAGTAGTACGGATTGTCCTAGACAGTACCAGAAGAGTCCGGAAGCATAGCTATAGTACACGGGCAGAGAGTCCCAAATATGGTAACATACTACATAAGCGACTACAGCTAAGCGCTAGGAGACGCATAGCCTCGTGTAGTCCGGACCGGATAAGTCCAAGTTCAACAGTTCGTTTCGAAGCGAGAGGGTCTATCTTCAGCAGTGTTGCCGGGCTTCCAGACCTTCCCTCAGGATTGAGACACAGTATCCGAGGGAAGATCGCCGTGAAGTACAAGAAAGCCAAACTAGAACAAGTAGGATAGTGCACGAGGAGACTCAGAGTGTATGGAATCAACGCGCGACGGTACGGCTGAACTACAGTGCTTTGCAAAAAAGATTGCAGTGCGAAGCGCGCAAAATCCTGTTTGCCCCTGTTTGGTCCCCCGTCGGCTACGGCGAGGATTTCTGTTTCGGGAACCGGGTGCTCACAAGGACTCCGTCCGTCAAAGCCGTGCTTGAGTCTGTGCCCGCTTTCCTACTGCCAAAATAAAAGATGATGTTCTCTGCCTCCGCAATATAACTTTATGAATATATTTGGTAGGTTTGTAGCTGAAAAGTCGACCATGCTGGAAAGAGGCTCCCGGCATTGCGGGCGTTTCTCCGGGTGAGCAAATAGAGGCAAACAGGATTTTGCGCGCTTCGCACTGCAATCTTTTTTGCAAAGCACTGTAAGCGGCCGTGACACTGCCGTGACGAAGGGCTGGCGCTGGATCTCAAAATACGGATGCACAAAATACGGGCGGCTACGAAAATACGCCAACTTTGAGCAGGGCTACTAGCCCCGGTCAGAATTGAGCGTATCTCGTAGCCGCCCGTATTTCGTACGTCCGTATTTTGAGTCACGTCACCCAAACCGCCTGAGCGCTTGTCACCTGTACGTCACAACCCGCGCAACGACACTCGTTGGGGCCTTCGCGCACACTAGTGATATGATATCAGACTTTTGTGTACCGCTACTCGCGTTTCTTGCACATTGTTTCAGTGGACTGTATGAACTATCCAGATGTTGCAAGTGTAAGGGGCTCGCGGGTGCAGCAGCACAAGCAAAAGTTCAAGGCGGCTAATCTGACATTACACATTGCCATAGCCACCCAACTTGGGCCCGCTAGTTGAACCACATGAGGGTGACGATAGGAGATATCTTACTGCGGCTGCACCGAGCCCGCACTAGTAAGGTGCGCGCAAGCAATAACATGGCTCGAAGGAGGCTCGCGACCCCAACAAATTCAGCTCAAGGTGAACCAAAGGGAGTCTCAGACATTTCTAATGACAAAACTGCTCTTGTGGTGAAGTACACTGTGGTTTCGAGAGACGCATAAATATGCAGATGCGCGCGCGGTGGTGCGGTCGCGCGCGACTTGGCGGCAATGGGGTGTGACGAACTGGTAGTAACAAACGCGCAGGCGGCTTGGGTGACGTGACTCAAAATACGGACGTACGAAATACGGGCGGCTACGAGATACGCTCAATTCTGACCGGGGCTACTATTTTGTAAATCCCCTCTTCTCGGTTCTGACGCACCCCAGTTTTGAAGAGTCTTGACACTTCAGCGCCTCATCACATCGCGTTCAAGATGGCATAAGGTACTCCTCTTTGAATATGGCTTTGCTGGAGCCAAGCTGGTTCCATGAGCATTGCAGGACGATGTTTGCCGGGCTTAATACCCTGCATGGAGCTGCAATTCCGCATGTACGTACTCACACTGCAAAAGCAATTGTATGAACAGTGTCTCGGTCTGAACCAAGCAAAGCGGTCAGCCACCTTAGGTCTGCTCTGGGCCGGATTGCTACTCATACATAAGCCTTTCGCGACCTGTATTGCCGCTCCTCACATCCTGCCATACACCTCCCCCTACGTGCTTTAACCTATTGCACCTGTACTGCTGCGCAGTCACTGTATCTATCACATCAGGAAAACGTCACGGACTTGGACCCATACTTGGGCCCAAGTTCATGTACTTGGACTCAAGTCCGTGTACTTGGCCTCAAGTCCGTGTACTTGACCCCAAGTCCGTGTACTTGACCCCAAGTCCATGTACTTGGTCCCAAGTACACGGACTTGACCCAAGTCTATATACTTGGGGTATTTGGGGTACTTGGGCCACAACTTGGACTTTACATGTTGACTTCAGTATACTCAGGCCTCAATTTGAGCAATTGGTGTTCTATCAGTCACACATCTTGTATACTTCTTATGTAATAATATCTATCATAGACATCCATACACTAGTTGTAAACCAGTCTGTTTTAAGGCTGTAGAAGCAGCTTTATAGTCTATTAGAAGAAGGGCAATAACATGTGATAGAAGACTTTAAGTTGTTACAATGTGCTTGTTTCAGTAGTGATACAGAGGTACAATATCCAGATAATGCTCAAGAATAGTGGTATCAGTGGTGGATGTCCAAGTTCTGCTATGGTACAGGAGAGGATGGTGAAGAATTTCTCGGAGTCCAGCAAAGAGCGCTATATATGGCTGCTATTCTGTGCTAAAGTGTGAGCTTCTGTAGTGTAGTGGTTGAACATGCTGTGTTGAACACTGAGATTGCAGGTTGCTGGTTCAATTCCCTGTGGTGGCATTTTTTTGCCGCCGCTGCACCCACTAACAAATATTGTACACTTGACCTTGATCAAGAGCAGCTGTTCTATGATTTACTTCCATGCATATCATCTATATTATTCAATACATCTCACAGTGAACTTGGGCATGAACTTGAACAGGGACTTGGAGAACTTGGCCAAGTACCTGGTACTTGGCCAAGTCGACCCACCCAACTTGGCCAAGTCCATTGGACTTGGGGTACTTGAGGTACTTGGGATACTTGAGGTACTTGGCCAAGTACCCCAAGTACCTGTACAAGTCCGTGACGTTTTCCTGATGCAGGATGTCTCACCTCACTAGCGATATTGCTCCCGAAGTATTCGAGTCTGCTCTTGGCACCCCGTTCTGGTTGTGGAATGGCCGGGAGTACGTCAAGCTCGCAGGCGAGCAGCTCCGCGAGGAAATGAAACTCTGCGACGAATTGCCGGCGTGGCAGCGGAATATCCGTGAGTGTCTGAGCGCCGTCGACTGACCGCACGTTGGGCTCGCTGACACTTCTTCACACCTCGCAGTGTGCAAGCGCGACAGGTTCAAAGGCCCCAGGACCCTCCGTACACGCCGGGATCCCAGAATTTTCACCCCCGCCAAGAAAGTCAAGGCCGCCTCGACCTCGCCGTCAATAGTCGGTCGTCCCGTCGCTGAGTGCTCTAGCGGTGCTGGGTCGGTGCGTGAGGGTGGCGGCTCCCTCTCCCGCACTTGCTCAGATGCTGCTGGGGAGCAAAACGTCGAGATGGTCGGCGGACCTTCAAGCCCCGATAGCGTCGTTCTCTGTCCGAGCGTCGACCGGCCAAATGGTACTGCTGCGACGCCCGCAAGGAGTGGCTCTTCTTCGGACGCTGTGGCAGGCACCGTCGAACTGCGAGATGTGGAGATGGCGGACGACGCCTCAAGCTCGCCTCCGGCCAGTGTCGTCTGTACGAATGTTGAACTCCTCGGTACCGTCATAGTGGCAGGACAGGCAGGTTATCCTTGCGTCATTGTGACGGACACTGCCGAGTTGCAAGACGTGGAGATGGCCGATGCAACACCGGAGGCCCCCTCGACTCCGACTCCGGCCCGCACCTCGACCCCGACCCCGACCCCGACCCCGACCCCGACCCCGACCCCGACCCCGACCCCGACCCGACAACCCTCGGTGTCGGCTTCCCGCCCAGAGCGACGGTCGCGCGCCGAACGGTCTCCGCCCCGGCCACCTACAGCTCCCCGTCCCCCAACCTCATCGGTCAAGACCTCCTCAAGCGCCTCCGGGCCCAGTTGAACGCGCCTCAAGCTCGACGCAAGGCATTTTCGGCGCCGGAGAAGGGTGAGAAGATGTTTAACAGGCCGCGGCCCAGGCTCCCGCTGCGGTTCGAGAAGAAACGTTTGACGAAAGGCGCGACACCGGTCAAGCTCACGGCACCCGTCCAGCGCGGACTGCAAAGCTCTGCCGAAGACAAGGAGAACGTCAGCCTCGCGACCGCCAACAGCGTCGACGTCAAGGTCAAGGCCCCCGCTGAGGCTGTCCCCCGCAAGCCGAAGGGGATCCTAAAGAAGCCTCGACGCGCGGAACGACCCCAGCCAGCGGTCATCAAGCGCGCGAGGCCCGGCACGCAGCTGCAGATTCAGGTCCAAGTTCCGGTCAAGAAGTTCGTACGCTGGGCTCCGGAGGTTATAGCGAAGGTCAGCGTGTTCTCCTACTCCGAGCTTTCCAGGAACGCGCTTCTGACAGGCACCCTCAACAAGCTCGCGCAAACGGACCTCGAGACGATCGTCCAAGCCGCCAAGCCTCCGACGCCCGCGCAACGCCTCGAACGTCTTCAGCAGCTCGTCAACACGTACTTCTAAAGGCTCAAGATCGATTGAGGGTGGACGCGCTGGCCGCGTCCACCCATAGGTTCATCTCAAGATTCTTCGCGCGAACAGGCTGAACGCGTTCATTTGCATGCCATCTAGATTAGGTACTTAGCGCGAGGGGAAGGCAGGCGGGGTTCGGCGGCCCCGTCTGTTTTCTGTCGTCCCGGATGGTCCTAAGGTGAGTGTTTCCATTTCTCTTTTCCCGAGGGAGGGACCGCAACGGTCCTGGTGCATACCTCTCCGTGGTCCTCGGGACGAGACCCGCGCAAGCGGGGAAACCGAAATGCGTATTCTCGTAGGTCAGCGTCGCCGTAGGTCAAAAATGTCCTGCGATCGTGAATGTTGATAAGTTGTGCGGTGTTTTATGTCGATTGCGATGAGATCGACGCCGTTTCTATATCGGATATGTGATGTGGCCGCAGGGGGCCGCGATCGGTGGTCGTGGATGGTCACGGGCGGCAGCTTGCCTTGAAAACGCAGTGGTGGGACGGACGAGTGTCAAGCTCGGGAGGCGGGATGTGGGGACTGTCGAAACAGCAACTCATGATATAGCAGCTGGGACACTCTACGCGGATCGATGCGTTCTATTTGCTACAACGGCTAGTAACGTACAGTCCCCTTGCTTCATCACCCTACGCAGGCTTACTACAATACATTATGATTATTCGGACGCCTCGTCTCCCTTCTTTATCTCTGGATCCCCGGCGTCCTCCTCATAGCCCTCCACCTTCATATCGTTGAGACCAAGTTCTTCGTTCTGCTCCCACGTGCGGTCGTACGACTCGATCGTCATGTTCGGGTCAGGGTCGGGAGCGTAAAGGTTTTGGAGGTAGGAGTTCGCCAAAGGGTCATCCAGAATCAAAGTGAACGGATGCTCGGCGTTCTTGACCTGCAGGATACTCTTCAGTTCATGCTCGCAAAGAGGATTATGCACAAGAGTACGCACCGCCTTCAATTTCTGCAAGAACGTTTCGAACGCTTTGCCGTCGCCGGCCGCATCCCCTGAAGCAAACACCTTCTCCGAGAGCTCCTCGTATACCTGATCTAGGATGCCCTCTAGGGTCGTGAAACGACCACCCAGAGTTCCTGCTTGCAAGACGAGCTCAATCTCGGGAATGCTCAAACCGCACGTCTCGCTCTGCAACATAGCTCAGTGTACAGATAACAATAGCGTATGAACTCTCACGAGCCTTCAATATATCACGGCTCAAGTCCTCGCGGTCTTCTACCTTGAGGGTAATTCGCTTGCCTTGGGGCGAGATGGCTGCACCAGACTTCACCTCGTTATCGCGGTATCCGCACTTGTCGCAATTCGTCGACATGATCAGGATGTCCTAGCAAGCGTCCTCATCAGCGTTGTCCCCGTGAAACGATATCTATCCGAGCGCATACCTTGAAGTAAGGGATGTTGACCTTCTTGATCAGGGTATCGGAAGGATGGCCACAACTCGAGCACGTGCCGGGGAACTTAAAGATCTCCTCATTCTGCCCTTCTGCCCCTTCACCAAGTTCCTCCTCGACATCTTCTAGCTTTTCCACCTGCTTCGGCGGCTCTGGGGCCGGCTCGTCATCCGCGACGAGACCGAGCATGACGTTCTGGTCCCGCGTTCGGTGGTAGGTGCGCATGTTCCACTTGGGGTCTGACATGCCCCCAACAAACTCAGCGAATGAATTACCGGATGGGTCGTCCAAGCGGATGGTGAACGGCTTCAGCGGAGCATCAATTTCCGAGGCAGGTTTTGGCGTCGAAATTGGGCCGGCTGCATTCTCGTCCGCGTCCTGGCCATCGTTGTCGTCCGGTACGATTTCCCTGCACTGACTCAAGATACTCTCGATCTTTTCGTATGCTTCAGGGCTCTGCACGCGACGCAAAGGCTGGTCCGCACTGAGGTCGGTGACGATATCACGGATGATGCCTTCGATCGTCGTGAGCTGACCTCGGCCTGGCGGGATCGTGAGGTCGAGCTCGGGGATGATTACCGTGCATGTGTTGGACTTGACAATCTGTCGGTTGAGATCGTCTCTTGAAAGGACACGGACGGTGTACACCACACCCTCCGCTACACCGACAGTTTGTTAGTTATGGAAGTCTATGAAGAAACTACAGTAAGATCCCTGGGTGCTTACGTCTTATGGAACCGGCAGGCTGCACCTCATTATTTGAGAAGCCGCAGTGCTCGCACCGGAAGGACATCACGATGATTTCCCGGAAGTAGGGAATCGTTGTGAGAAGTAATCTCGTAACGCCCTGAGTACGAACGATCATGAGCTTTGTCTTGCCAAGAGTATGGAATGTGACACACCTGCTCCTCGCATCGCATGCATAGCGACTCAATCTCCTGTACTGGGCGATCTTCGTCAAGAGTGAGCTCTACCGTTTGAGTCCCCACTGGAAGCTTTTCGGTCTGCTCCACAACCGATCCGATTGTAGGGAAGAGTTCGGGGTTTGCAGACATTATCGATTGTAGTAGCGCGTGTGTCGTCTAGTGGTCGTCAATGAGCGTCGGTAGCAAGTAGAAGGACAAGTGAAGGGGCTGCGCAGACGTAAAATTACAGACGAGGACTTGAGTGAAGTCCTTACGAGAGGTTTCTGGAGCAAGCATCCGCGGTGGCTGAACGCAGATCTGAGTGCGCGATCGACGAGATTACATCACGAGGGCACTCATCGCGGGGTTCGAACCACACCGTGCGCTTTTCTTTTGCCGAGGCACAAGTCGCGTTCGTCGTGTCGCGCGTCGACGTCGAGCTTTGCACGTTCACCCCTTGTCACCTGGCCACTATGTTCCCGTCGAGCAACACTTTCCCCACGGCCTCCATCGGTAGTGGACAGGAGCAACGCCCGCAGTTCCCGCATTCGCACTCGCACCCGGTGCAGTACAATGGATCCGCTTTTGCGGTGGCTGGAATGTCCAGTCTGAACCAGTCCGCCACGAGCCCCAGCGTCCGGAGTGGTCCGTTGGGTGTGAGCATGGGCTCTTCGCTAGGCATGGGTTCTCCCTTGAGTGAGGGTCTCTCTCAGTCGCGCAGTCACTACCAGCCCGGCTACCTAATGGTGTGTGGTCATTCCATGTATGCGGCCAGTTCATTTTTTGACCCCTTTTAGTCTGTCAACCAGAGCAGCGTAAGTCGCCATAGAGTTGCGTCGTGCGTGTGTACATGATGCTCACGATAATATATCAGTCGTCGCCTCCCGGAGGCCAGCGCGAAGAACCACCCATGGTGCCCACTAAGGCGAAGCTCAACCATACGTTCTCAGGAGGGGCTGTAACAGACTTTGGCATGGACTCTATGTTTGAAAGCTCGCGGTAAGTTTGCGCTCCGCATCGCCCTGATTACAATTTTGAAACTTGTAATCAGGCAAAGACCAAGACAAACCCTTGCAGATGAAGACGCGCCACCGACGGCCTCGGTCAATGATATTGTGAATGAGACTCCCGAATCCACTTCGCGTTTTCCGCAGCGAGTGAGCGTTGCTTATCGCGACAAACTCAGTACATGTCTCTGATGCTCCCGACAGAACGCGTTTGAACCATCGCAAAGCCGCCTTTCCTTGTTCCGTTCCTCACATCCCACCACACCGAAACCTACAGCTTCCTCCCCCCAACAGAACACTCAGCCGTTATATGTCGTCGTGTTTGGCTATCCTCCTGACAAGTACAGTGTGACTCTGGAGTACTTCCGGTCTCTCGGAGACACGACGGAAGCAGAGCAGAGCTCTGAGCTTCTCAATTGCTTCAGGATTGGCTATCTGAACCCCGCGGAAGCCATTCGCGCGATCCGCAAGAACGGCGATATCATCAATGGCTCCTTTATGGTTGGCGCCAAGTGGGCAGTATGTCCTATCACGACGATCTGTTGTTTTATGCACTGACAGTTGTTGGTGCCTCCTGCGTATAGGATCCGGCTCAGGCTGAAGCCGTCTTGGGCCCATCGCTCGCTCGGAGCACGACCCAGTCTCCTGAGTTCGTCGGCTCTGGCATGGATATTGATACGCCGTCGCAATCACCGAACGTGTTCGGTCCTCCGTCCACGTCTCGTATGAACGTCGATGAGCTGGTCCCTCGCCATGGCGCGTCTAGGACGGCAGAGCCATCCACACCCACCGTCGGTACGCCCATCAAGCTTGCCCCGTCGACGTCAGCGTTCCGCCGTCCTGGAGGAGGGGCTCCTGTGACCCCCATGGCGGCCATCCGACCCACTTCGTTGCTTCCAGCCTCTGGGACACCCCAGCAGTCTCCGTCTAAAGGCATGCTTGGGCAAGTCTCTGACCTCATTTTTGGCTGGTGATCTACTTGCTTTCCGCTGTGCCTATTTGCTCTCTGTGTTCATACGAAATCAACGACTCGTTTGGAACAAGTCGTTAGTAACTCTTTGTGCAGCTGGGCCAATGATGATCCTCCAAGCGGTGCACCGAGCGTCCACAAGACATAAGACATAAGTTGATGCTGGATTTGACAAACCGCTTTTGCTTGAGCCCATGATACCCGTGTACTGTGGTATTTCCACGGGGGGTCATAAATAGTATGGCTGCGAAAAAATCTTGTTCGATTTTTGTTGCTTCCCACGGCATGTCTGCATGTCGGATTGCTTCACGGCGGTCGTAAGTACATACAGTATCACCGCGCGATGTTTCGTGGGACTGGTCGCTGCAATCCACGGCTCTGGTGAGGCGCATCTCTGACACACACAGGTATCGACTAACGCAACGCAGTCCGAAGACCGTTAGAGACCCTCGAGTTTTCTTGAACATGGCATCACTGTGCTATCCTCCCACCCACTGTATATTGCAGTATGCGCAGAGTGGATTGCGGTCGGCTCAGTGTCAAGTATTCATGCGAAAGGCTTCGACTATAAATCGTGATCGAACAAATCGGCGATCTGGGGTCGTAACTGCGGATTCCTGATCACTGAATTGCTATAGTCGACGTCATGGAGCATCGGAATCTCTGAGCCGAGATTTAAGAGGGTCGCTATCGGCTGGCAGTACATCCACGCATGCTGTGTTCTCCAGGATACGACCCGTTGAATCAAGAGGGAAAGGGAGCGTCGTCATCTCTTTGCTACTCTTCTGCCTGGTATGGTTGCTTTACCCACGCGAAGAACTTACTTGGATCACAGTCATGCAAAAGGCTTCCCATCGTGACATCTTCCAGGAGGTGTACAAATGCTGGCGTTGATTCCATCAAAGCTATGATTCGGCGCTAATCGTCCGCTCAACCATCTCCTTATACGTAACGTTCGAGGCGGCGAACACCGCAACGACGGACGGCAGCGCGCCTCCACCCTACTCCTGCTATCCTTCTCATCCCCCGACAGGTCCTCGCCTTAGCTTCTTTCACCCGCCTTATTGCGACTTGACCATAGGGTCAGTCGCGGCACGACCAAAACGTTTCTCACGGTGAGCCACAACGAGGCCGCATTCAACGGATTGGCCATACGTGGTAACTCATGCATTGCTTGTGACAGGCTTTGCACGAATCTTACGAAGATCGTTCTTCCTGTCAAGTTAGGCCGAGATGCATGCTTTACAGTTGCTATCCCCAATCAATGAGGTGGAGGAGCTTAGCCCATACCAGACTCGTTTCAAATATGCACGGTACCCAGGTCAGAGGTCACCCAGTGAGTATCTCATCTACACCATTCGCGTTGTGGCTCTGTATTTATAGGGCACAAACCTTGTAGTCGGGCCCAGGAGTCCATACAGTGTGCAGGGCACACCCGTCGGCTCTAAGCCTGAAGTGTCTATGGACGACCTCTGGATTTACGACTGCTACATGTCGGAAGACACGGTCTCACCCGAAGGATATTTCCGCACACCCACGACCCCCCTGCATAATCGGTCAATCAGCCTGCCCGCCACGACAGCCAATTTCGTCCCCCCCAACAACGTGCCGCTGATCAAGGAGCCAAATGCGGCTCATCGACCACCTACATTGAGCGTCCCCCCTCGGCCCGGGCGTATCTTCGAGCAGGACTCCATGGACGTGGGAGACGAAATGACGGATATCACCGCATACACCGGAGACCTTCCCGATATCAATACAGCCGTGTTCAGCTCTGCAGATTTCCCAGAATACTCGCCACTAGAGCAGGAGGTCCTCAGTATCTGGGAGGTAGTTGATCAGCTAGCCGCAGCAGCGGACGCGTTCTCCGGACTCGAAAACACATTATCGCTGGCAAATCCTGAGAAGCTTCCTCCCGAGATGGATGAGGACACCCTGTTCTGGTTCGTCGAGGCACTCAATATGTTTTCGAGCGATTGCGCAGACGTCGCCGCGGAGCTCATGGACTTCAGCGAGTTCGTGGAAGCGCTTTTGTTCAGGGAGCAGCAGAACACGCTCGCTCCTGTACGCACACTTCCGCGTGCCTCCTTCTCGGAACGAGACATGAAGGAGGTATTGGAGTCCGCAGCCAACCTTCCCCGGGAAGAAGTTGCGGAAGCCCTCGCAGCGTTGGAGGTGGAGGTCCCGCCATCACCCATGGGTGCGCGACGCCCACGGGATAGACCGCCATCTCTGAAGCTCTCCACCAGCGACGCTGTATTGCTCCACCAACGATTGCCAAGATCGCGAGATGAGAGCGTTGGGGCTGTGGGTCGGTTCTCGGAGAAACAGGGAGAAGTCTCCCAAGGCGGAAAAGAAGAGGTGTTGAGGAAGCATCGGGCATATGTGATCTATGGCGACGTGCGTTTATGGTTCCCTGCTCGTGTTCATACTCTGGGCGCTGACATTGTCTCAGGAAACTTCCGTGGAGGACAATTGGTCGGCGAAGAGTATTGTAGACTATGGTGCAGACGACTTCCCCTTCGATGAGAATGGTCAGCCACGACTTGTACGTCTTCATGCTTTGATATGCAAACACGACGCTTATGGAAGCTGGACACTAGCCACCCCTCTCACCTCGACCGAGACCAACGTCCGGCCAAACAACGGCTTCCCGACCTCTGTCCTCACCTGTGGTGCTTGGTGGCCCATTAGGCGCACGACGTCCACCATCACTGACCTTCACTGACTCTCAATCACCTCGGTCAAGTCATTCTACATCCAGCTCCGTCTCATCCCTTTTCTCCAACCTCCCCCGTTCATCCTTCGCGACAACCCCCTCGCCAAAGTCCTCAAGCCGCCCATCGTTCACATTCGACAAGCTGGACAAGCCCCGTTTCCCTACCTCCTCTGGCAACATAAAGAAGGTGTTCACGAACATCTTCAAGAAGAAAGAGAAGGAGGGAGGGTTCGCTTTCCCCGAGAAGGAGAAGGAGAGCAGGTTGGCGTATATTGGGTCGTCCCTTCGGCCGAACCTTGCCATACGAGGTTTCGGAAGACGGACAGCAGGGACGGGCTCGATCGATGCGACGCTTTCTGCACTCTCTCTCAATGGTCCTTCATCCGGAAGCCAAACCATCCTCAATTCTGAGCCAGATCCATTCGCGGCGACACCTCCATCCTCCGCTGGCATGCCACCTTCCTCTTCGGCCCCCGAGCCTCAGACGGCGTTGGATGGCTACTCGAGTATGTTCAACCCCCTGAAGGCCGCGTCGCGTTACCCAACACAACCCCTCTTCGGTGGGGCAGGGGAAGAACTCACCAGCGACGTCGACGCACCCTATATCGCTTATTAGTTATCGTATCTCACGTACTGTTGCTTTCATTCGATATTCGCTTCCCCAAGTCTGTCCGGATCTACGCATCACCTTCGCTCTTTGTATTTGTGCATTTTGTGCTTGTACCACTGGACTGATTTATCACATCCTCGGCGGCCTTCGTCATTCCGTACCGCATTCGAGGCTTGCTGGCCCGAGTTAACCCGAGGGGTACTCAGGCGTTGACGGGATTGTTGACTATAAGCGCTGGTGACCGAAATCCGGAAAGTTCGGAAAATATTCAGATGCTTCCGTGCTGCTCCGTTGGCTCTAACCAATCCTACCTTCTTCCTCCACTTCGTCCATCACCTCTTCCAACCAAAGGCCTTCGTCGCCATCCTAGAGTCTGTTAACCATCTTGTTGCTATGGGCCAAGCAGCTTCTCAGTCTGTCGTGTCATCCCCTGCACCGCCAGCCCAATGTCCGATTGACCATTCAGCAGTCAAGGCTGCTCCCGCAAAGTGCCCCATCTCTCATGACAAGCCCGCGACCTCCCCATCCGGCCCTCCACAGTCCTCCTTGAAGCCCGCGGAATGTCCCATCAAGCACGATTCGGACGGCCTCAACCCGCTGAACCAGATGCCGACGCTCTCGCAGATGCCCGCTGAGCAGCAGCTCGCCGCGCTCCCGACGCAGCGCGAGACGTCCACGATCCCGCGCGACGACGGGTCGAGGTGGGAGTACCCGTCGCCCCAACAGTTCTACAACGCGCTCGTGCGGAAGGGCTGGGAGACGCCGGAGGAACACGTCGAGACGATGGTGCAAATCCACAACTTCCTTAACGAGCAGGCGTGGCAGGAGATCCTCAAGTGGGAGCGTAAAGAGAACCCGTGCGTGTGCTCTGCGCTCTAGCTCGTTGAGCATCTTACTCATACATGGTTGCCTTTTCCTGTGCAGTGTTGCTGTCGAGCAGCCCCAGCTTGCACGCTTCAAGGGACGTCCTGGAGAGCTCTCGCCAAAGGCTCGCTTCTGGCTGTTCGCCGGCTGGCTGCTCCCGTCGCGATTCAAGTACGCCTTCTACACATCGTTTCAATGAATAGACTACTGACGCATCTTATAGCACCGAGCCGCCATTCGACCGCCACGACTGGATCGTCCGCAGGCCGGGAGGGGAGGAAGTTCGCTATGTCATTGACTACTACTCTGCACCTCCGGAGCCCGACGGGTCTCCTGTCTTCTCACTCGACGTTCGCCCCGCCCTGGACAGCGTTGGAAGCATCAAGCAGCGGATACAAGCCGCTACTGAGGATGTCTGGGCAGCCTTCCGCGAAGAGAACGCACGGAATAGCTCACAGAACGCCCAGAGATGATCTCCTCGCCTACAAACTCCATTCTCAGACTCTCTTAGACCTCTCGATTGGATTGTCCGGACTTTACATCCCCACTTCTTATTATGACATTCACGACCTCGCTCAAAAGTTGAATTGTAGTATTGAATTTCTATAATGCATTAGCGTAATACCCTATGCGATGACCATCGAGTGCACTGTCTAGGATCACATGCAGTCGAGCATTCCGAGCAAGTACTATACAAGGTATGAGCGGTGAGGGGGCGTGAGTATGATGCAAGTGGACCATGAAGTACTTGCGGATTAGTCTCGTGATGAATAGCAACTTTTGAGTACGGGCTTATGCGGGAGACTACAGATATTGTCGAGAGGATCTCCGACCCATCTGAAAAGCCGACTCAGCTTCGAGCACCGCTCGATAAAAACGTTAGACGTACTTCGACAATTTTCCAGCCGCCAGTGAGCTCATTGTCGAGCTCTTCCTCGAGTCGTGTGATGACGGCAGCGTAGTGACACTGCTCCACACGGTCCTCAGCACCGACCACAACCTCACCCGTCTTCGCGTTGCGGAAGAGCAGTATTTCTTGCGTCGCGAACGTGACAACGTAAACGGGGATATCATCCTCGAGGATCTTCCCGTGCAATATCTGTCCCATACACATGAGAGGCACCGGTCGCGACTAGGGACCAATGCAACATACCTCAACTGCGCGGATATCAAGGACCTTGCTATCGCTGACCAAGCCCTGCTTCAAATACTGCTCCATAGTCGCCCAGAGGACATTGTAGGTCTATGTCGTATGTCAGTCGACACATTCTTCGCTAGCGGGACTGCGCCGTACCTTCTCACCACACCACGCCTGCAATGCCTCCCTATCCGCGGTGAGGTACGCGTCGACGACCTCGGGAACGATATATTCTCGAAGCTCGCGCTCGAAGTTGCCGATATTGAAGGTCGGGTCCATAGCCTTCATGTATCGGTGCACCTGCGCGCTCTCGTTCTCGTCGAACCAGCTGCCGATAGTCGAGGTGACGCTCCGTAGCGACGAGATGACGGGGTTTTCGCTCTCGTCATACTGCTGCTTGAGCTCAGCGAACTGACGGAGGATAGGGTTCGTCTCTTTCAGCTGGTTCCACTTCTCTTGCCGTGGCGAATCCTTGTGTAAGACCATGGCTTGCCCAGCTCTGCGCGTCCCGTCTGGGTAAGAGATTGACTGAAGTAAGGATTGTCGATACGTACTCTGGATTCGCCTTGACGCGACTCATGCTATCCTTGCCGGCCTTTGCCAACCGGAGCTGCCTCCGTCTCCGACGCGCCTCCTTCTCCTCGAACCCACCGTGCTTCGAGGAGCCACTGTCATCCAATGCGTCCGCGATCGTGTCCGAGAGCGACTTGTACGCAGCGGTGTTGCGTATTGGCTCGGTCGTCTTCTCGATAGTTGATGACACGGCAGCCGAGGCACGGGAGATCTAGCGTCACAAGTGGCATAAGTACATGCGGAGAAGGCGAGAAATACCGACACGCACCGCGCGCATAAGCTCGCTCTCTTCCATGGTCCTCAGAGCCTCGCCGACGGCGTCACCGACCTTGATGCCAGCTTTACGGAGTTCCTCGGCAGCCGCGCGCAGCCGAGGGTTCTCCTTGATACTAGAGGTCAACTGCAGACACCGGTACGTCAGATACGGTACTTTTGCATGCAGCTACGGTCAGGCAGACATACCCTCGCACGCTCGTACGCTTCCTTAGCACGCTTCATTGCCTCCGAGTCCTGGAACTTCTCTACATCTCCCTGGAGCTGCTTGACGTTGTCCTGGAGCTCCCTGTTCTTCCTGAGTTCGTCCTTGAGGACCTCCACAAACGTCTGAAACGGCGACTTGGGAGGCTCATTTTGGCGACGAGCGGAAGAATGGAATGACGCGGAGGACGCGCCAGCTGAGAGCGCGGGGTGCAGAGGGAGTGAGCGAAGAGACTGCTTGCTGAGCAGGAGCGCACGGATTTGGGCAGGCGCGGCGGGGGTCAGGACCGCGCGGCGGAGATGACGAGGGAGCATTATGGGAGAGCGGTCGGTCGGGAGGAAGAAGGTGTAGAGGAGATGACCAGGTGTCGGTGACCGCTGAGTGTCCTCGTAGCCCGCGTCTGCAAACATTCTGCCACAGGCGCCCGTAATTGCATCACGTGCCTCCTCATCCGGGGTCAACAGGCGCTCGTGCTGCTACTGCGTCATTGAGCTCTGGTCACCGACCACGACGTTCCTTGAATATGCTCCGCCAATGTGCTACGCGTCTGTCGCGTCCATCTCCTCTGCGAGCGATTGCTATACGCGCGGACTGCTTTGCAACCTCTTCGGCCCGTCGTACTGACCGTGCTGTGATCTATGCCGAAAACGGGAACCCTGCTGAGGTCCTCAGAGTCAAGTCTTATGATCCACTACCTCCACCTCCCCCAGGCTCTGTCAACATCCGCTTCCGTCTCTCGCCCATAAACCCCTCCGATATTAATGTTGTGCAGGGTGTATATCCTGCCAAGCCCACTCAGCAGCACGTCTCGGGAGAGGATGTCTTCATTGGCGGGAATGAAGGACTGGCCGAGGTCGTAGATGTTGGAAGCAATGTCGACGGCCTCCATAAAGGCGACTGGGTCACACTTGGAAAGGCACAGTTTGGAACCTGGGCGTCCACACGCGTCATAAGTGCGGAGGACGTGATCAAGTTACCTGCGGGTGGCTTCAGTGAGGTCAACGCTGCTACCATCAACGTGGGTCGACGTTCCTCTGCATTCAGCCAAAGCTGATCAACATCCTATGTAGGTCAATCCCCCGACGGCGTATAACATGCTGCACCAGTTTGTTGACCTCAAAGAGGATGACTGGGTGTTACAAAACGGTACTCTTACCCTACAGCCTCGTTCGTATATGTGAGCTGAAGGAGATTGACTACTGCGTTCCTACAGGAGCTAATAGTGCGGTACGCAAGACAATAGCCGAAGCAGCACGAAATGAGCACTGACCGCTTGCCTTTCTGAAGGTTGGCCAAGCAGTGATTCAGATCGCCGCCCGCAAGGGTATCAAGACCATCAACTTCGTCCGGAGCAGGTACGTCTATATCAGCGATTGCATGCAGTGTTCCAATACTGAAAAATACAGACCTGACCTCGACAACTTAATCTGCTCGCTTACCCAACTCGGCGCGACACATGTGTTCACATACGACGCGCTGTCAGACAAGTCCTTGGCGAAGCATGTAAAGCAATGGACATCCAAGAGCGTAAGCCTGTCCATTGTTAGGTTCCGCGAGGGATCTGAATGTCCTGTCCCAGCCTATCCGTTTGCTACTGAACTGTGTTAGCGGTCCTGATACCACCGCTATGACGCGCCTCTTGGGCGACAACGCGCATCTAGTCTCGTATGGGGCGATGTCTAAAAAACCTCTCTCCTTGCCGACTTCTCTATTCATTTTCAAGAATCTAACCACCCACGGATACTGGCAGCACCGCTGGTACCAGGAGCACTCGCGACAAGAACGCGAGAAGCTCATGCGGACGCTTGCTAACTTGAAGGTAAGTGACATTGTCCCAGCAATGCCCCAAAGCGCAGTATCGACTGATGTGGCCAATTGGGCAATTTGCAGCTGAAAGAACCGGAACACGAAATCCTGGATCTCTCTGGCGAGCCTAGCGACGAGGCGGCTACCAAGAGATTGCGGGATACCCTCACTAAGATAGAAGCGGGCTTTAGCAAGAAAGTACTACTCCGACTCCAGTGATAGCCCCTGCAACCGGAACCAGGGCAGCACGAAGAGGCACGGAAGGAGTCATGTTGTATACCGGGATGCGTTGCTTCATTCCGAATGACGTTGTGTGCTCTCCCATCTGCAGGGAAACGAGTTCCGAAGGCCAGCCCAATATATACCTACACTCATATCGACAGCAGGACATTAGTGCATTAGTGCATTTTCCTCTCCTCGAAGAACCGCTGCGATCCGTAGCAGGTCAATGTCAGCCATTTGAGGAGCGGAGAAGCGACGCTCACCTTAAGATGCCTCATCTGCCACACGCACGTCGCGATCAACACGCCGATCTGCACCACCGTGTACCACACCGCCTTCGAGTTTGTGGACTCGCTGAGGTCCCGGAACGCGGCCTCGCGCTCGCGCTGGTACTGCTGCTCGCGGCGGACGTCCTCAAGCTTCATGTTCAGGTCCCGCAGCTTCTGCGAGAGCTCGGACACGTGTGAGCGGTCCTGCTCCGTGTCCGGTTTCGTCTTCCCGACGACGATATCGAGGTGCAAGCGAATGTGTGTTGTCGAGAACCATGTGGTGCCATAATTGCTCGAGAGACAAATTGAGTGGTCCCCGGAGTCGTGCGAGGTGAACGTGAATTTGCCGTCTGAAGGCCCGCGTGTCTTGACGACGTTGTGTCCCGTCTCGAGCTCCTGTATACGTGCAAAGGACACACAGAACGGGTTAAGCGCATGGACGCATATAGGGAGAAGATGTGGTCATGCGACTCACGTCAACTTCGACCAAAATACCGAGGTTGGTGTTCTCGACGTATTTCTGCTCCTGTTCTGACCATTCGAGGGCTTTGTAGTGGCCTGCGTGGTCGCGCGGGGACATGAGCACGAGAGCGGTTATGTCGGAGTGCCACATAGCACGCACCCTCTACCACCGTGTCCGTCGGGAGCTCCTCAATGAAACATCGTTTCTCGTTGGTGTCCAGGTAGAAGTGTAATGCATTAGCGACGGCGGCGAGCACGAGGAGCAGACATAGTGAGACGAGCGGGTGTCTCCGCGGGGTGGCCATGGAGGGGCGTGTCGTGGCCGTCGGTTGGTCGTGACGAGGAAGAGGGATGTACCGTGGGAACAGCCTTGGCGGCCAGATCTTGCCTCCAGATTTTTGGCTGCGTTTCGCATCCATCCCTCATGCTGTGAGCCTGACAGCGCTCTCCTAGAAATTGCTCAGCCCTCTACTGTTCCCGGTACGCTGCCCAGAATGCCTCCTAGCCGGTTCGAGCCGTCCTCCATCAAGAACAAAGTCAAGCGCGAGGAGATTGCGCGCAAGCAGAAGAAGGAGAAGCGGCAGGGCAAGCTGCAGCGGAGGCTTGCACAAGCGAAAGCAGAGGCCGATGATCCCCTTTTAAAGAAAGTATGTTACAATCGTGTTTTCATCACAAGAGAGAAGATCTTGAATATCCGACTGCGTTGATAGAAACGTCTTACTCAAAATGTGCCCCGCACGCTCGACAACACTCGCGAATATGACCCTTCCATGCTCACCGCGAATCCGAATGCCGAACCTGAAGCGGGACCGTCTAGTCTCCCGCAGGAAGGAGAGGAAACGGACCAACCAGTCGTTCAGCCTGAAGACGAGTCCGCGGCCGATATTGCTGCCGACCCGTTCGCCGAGTACTTCTCTGGTGCCCTTGACCCGAGCACCCCACCAAAAGTCCTCATCACGACCTCGCCAAAAGCAACCCGCTTGACATATGACTTCTGCGACGAGCTCGTCGGGGTGTTCCCGGGAGCGGAGTTCATCAGGAGGAAGAAGGGCAAGGGTTTCGAGATGGGGAGGATTGCCGGTTGGGCTGCGAACCGCGACTACTCCCACCTCGTTGTGGTCAACGAAGATATGAAGAAGCCAAGTGAGTTCCGAGAGAGCGCTTCCACTGGTAGATAGCTATTGACATGAATCCCAGATGCTCTGACGGTCGTTCACCTCCCTGAGGGACCCACCGCCTACTTCAAGCTCACGTCTATTGAGCTTTCCCAACAGATCTCGGTGCGTGAACAATCTTTGCCGTTGGCGATCACCGATACTCAACTAGGCCTCTTCTCAGGGCCATGCGCGTTCGACGGCCCATTTCCCCGAGCTCGTTCTGAACGGGTTTGTTACCCGCCTCGGCCACACCGTCGGCCGCCTCTTCCAGACATTCTTTCCTCCTATGCCGGAGTTCCAGGGCCGGCAAGTCGTGACATTGCACAATCAGCGAGATTTTCTCTTCTTTAGGCGACATCGGTACGTATTGAGCCCGTCGTGCCTGGTGCCTCAGTGTCACGGTTTCCTTACCGGACGCGTGCACTACACAGATACGCATTCCGGTCTACAGAAAAGGTGGCACTGCAAGAGATCGGGCCCCGATTCACGCTGAAATTACGGTACCTCAAGAAGGGGCTTCCTGCGGTTAAGAACCTGGGCGCCCCCAGCAAACCCTTGGAGTTCGACACTGGCGAGGATGAGGAAGCCGAGCGGAAGGATGCGCCCGAGGAAGGTATGGCGATAGACGGAGAGTCGGAAGCTGGCAAGAAGAAGGTCCTCCCTCCGACTGATGATGAGTACCTATGGATATGGAAGGTTAGTGTCAGGCGCCTTCTGTATGTTACATTGGGCTGACATCTGCCACAGCCGGAGCTGGAGACTACAAGACGGACATTCTTCTTGTAGGTCCGTCGTTTATGTTGACGTCCTAGTTGTATATCATGTCTATCGTATCGGACTGCCTCAGCTGCACCTCTGAGTGTTCGGTCAAGGCACCCTCTTCGCCATCAGGAAAGGCCGCTGAGGGCAAAAATTGACTTATTGGCCTTAGCATGAATCTTCTGGCATCCTCCTAGCTCAACGTTGTAGGCGCACCTAGGACGCACTTAGGCTATGTGTAGGGCAGCGGCCTCGGTAAGACACGAGTCTCTCACTTCGAACCAGCGGCTCAGCGATTCTTCGGCATCATATTGAGAGGAAAAGTATTTGTCATTTATCCCAGCACGTACAGACACTATAGACATCGAGAGGCTAGACACTTTTGCGGCCGCGGACGACTCGCCCCACTGCACACTACGCCTTGGGTGAAGTCAATTGTCGATCAAGTGGTCGATCTGCGCAAAGCACTCACTTAGGAAGTGTAGGTCGAGCCGATGGGACCGAACTTGATGTTGGAGAAGATGACGGTCGCGTCGGGGCTCTGCGACTCGACGTCTGAGGGGACACCGGAGGTCGTGGGGCAAGGGCCACGAGCGACACCCGGCTGGGACGGGTCGGCGTCGGTGGGGTAGTCAGAGTCGAGCCAGAGCATCTGGGCCGCGTAGTCGTCCCAGATGGACATGACCAAGGCCATACCCTGGGCGAAGGCGTCGCCCATGACGGGGAGACCGCCGAGGTTCTCGAACGAGTTGGTGTCGCCGAACGCCGTCTTCTGCGCGTTGCAGAAGTCGTCGGTGATGGAGTCGTACGCGTCCAAGCCCGCGATGCTCGCCTTCGAGTTCGCGATGACCTTCCCGTTCTGAACGTAGAGGCGACGGATCTCGGAGAGGGTGCCGGAGGTGGTGTTATCCGAGGTCAGGAACTGGGTGACGACGGTGAACTTGGAGGAGGTGTCGACGGTCTTGCCTACACCAAGGAACGTCTGGTCGCCCATGCGGAAGGAGTTGAAGTCGCAGCCGTCCTTGTCGCAAATACCGTCGTAGCGCTCGTCGCCATCACCGCACTGGGTGCCCGAGCAGCGAGTCTGGCCCTGGACGTTGCAGACGTGGGGAGTCACGGCGGCACCGTTCGAGTTGGCCTCCCAGACGTCCATCTCGTTACAGCACGTTCCGTATTGACCAGTACCCGCGTTCGGGTCGTTAGCCGAGCCGGTCCAGTTGAGGATGTTGGCCTAGAGTAAAGATCAGCATCGCGTCAAACAAGTTCTGTGGGCGTTCATCAGCTCACCTCGCCGTTGATAAACTTGATGTCGTGCGGGCACTGGGTATCACAGTAACCCGTACCGTAGGCAGAACCAGCCTTGTTGTTGGGGAAGCGGGACTTTCCACCGTCGGAGTCCATCTCGACGAAGTAGAGCGCGCCATTGAGACCGCAGGGGAGCTGGGACATGTCGACGTCGAACGTGAACTCCTGATTCTTGAGGTTGAACATCTCATAGGTAGTGTCGTCTTCCGAGAGAAGGTAGACGCGGGAGCCGACATTCTTCTGGGCCGACTGGGTCACGAATTTGAGACTGAGGGAGTTGCCGTTGGTGGTGATACCGTAGGTGCCTGTGTGAAACATGTTCGGTCAGGAACGTGAATTCGCAGCTTGCCATATCTTGCAAACTTACCAGCATAGTCTGCACCGTCGAGAGCGCAGTTCTGCGCGCAAGTGACAGGGTCGGGGCACAGTGAAGCGTCCCAAGTGTTGCCCGTGTAGCAATTAGTGCTGCTGCTGGTCGAATGGAGCCAACGCCAGTTTGAATCGAGCACGACCGATCTCTGCAGGGTCTCGCAGCTACCACCGGTGGAGCATTGCGAGATGCTCAGCTTGGGATGGGTCTCGGCGGTGAGAGTGCCGACTTGCTGACCGTAGGTGATCGCAAGGAAGGAGAGCGAAAGCAGAGCGACGGAGGGGAACATGTCGGTCAGCTAGGCGTTGAGTTGTTGTCGTCGAGAGAGCGACTGCTGAGTCGATGAGGTCGGAGGCCTCGCAGCATTGCTTTTATACTTTCATCGACGGAAAAAATCCGGCAGCCAAAGGAAGTCAACGCTGCATCAAGAAGTGGGTCACGAAGCTGCCGCATAGCGTCGTTGCGGAGACGCAGCTGTCAGAGCCACTACCATCTTGAGTACAACGAAGTGGGAGACCGAGGTGAATCCGAGACCATAATGTGAGCCTGCACAACGAAGCGCATTCTGAACAGAGGCATCCTAGACTGATGATTGTATACGTACCGAAGAGAGGCCGTCCGCTGCTGCGCACATGAGACAAGGATAACCGTAGCTCGGCAGGCAGGCTCTGCGAAGCCAGACTGTCCAGCTGAAGACGCACAGACGAATTGAAGAACGAGTGATATAATTAGTTCGGACACGGCCGACGAGTACCCGCGGTAGGTAAGGCCAACCCTAGAATGTGTCATGGGCATGATCAATATCATTCAGGATCGCAATTCGCCCGACCCCAGATTCATACCTTCTCATGGGTACTCCGCGTGGTGTTGTGCAGTTAAGGCCTTTTGACCTTCATCAACGTCACACAGCACGGTTAAAGTTCGGTTCCTGGACAGAGATGAGCATGGTGCCGATTTGTCGGCTCTACCCACTCCACCTACGTGCGCACACGACTTGAAAACGACAATCATGTATCGAGGTTCTCGTAACTTCTTCACCGCGACGTCGCGACAGAAAACTCTTATCATGGCATTGAGCGGGTCAAACTAGTAGAAGAGAGAGCATTCGAGATGAGTGCAGAAGAACCTCCATGTTCGGAACCTAGCAATATACACACTTTGAATTGATTGGATGTACCCCATAACGGTATGGGGAGGTTGATCCTCTTCGAATGCTGCCTAATCTTGCCGCACCTTCCTGTGCATCCAATAGACGTTCTTTTCGGGGGCAATACGCCATAGAACTCCAAATATGGCTGCCTATTCAGTCTATTCTGGGTTCTAATAGACCTGCAGACACGGACCGTCCAACCGTCGGCCACATCACAACAGGGTAAGTTCTCAGGAAAAACTCTGGAGATGTGAGGCGGTGCGAAGCAGCAGCAGGGGTCGCTCACCATCGCTGCACATGCGGCATGATCCTGTGGGCGATCTTCGTTGCTGTAGCGGGGAACTGGTACCAGCTGGTACCCCGGCGACCCACTCCCGACTCTTGTATACAGTCGACACCCTCTTAACCCATAGCCCTCGGGACAGGCCCAAATATATGGGTTTTGAGGGGTTATGGGCTACCAGAACTTTAGCGCCTCATAAGCGCCCTGATAAGTCCCAGTTAGCGAGGGCTGAACAGGCGTCTACTGACCCTTTGAGGGAGCGCTATGGGATTTCGAACACACTAACCTACTCACAACATGGTCGAAGCGTGGATGGACACTGGGAGGACACTGGGAAGAATGTGTCAAGTATTTTGTGGGTTATTGATGAGCAAAATCTCAGTGTGACCACTATTACCGTATGGGTTTTGAGCCCTAGAAGGCTATGGGTTATGGGGTATTGGGGACCTATGGGTTATGGGGTCGAATTCCCCCTATCCCGACTTGGGAAAGCCAAAATCCTATGGGTTTTCGGAGTTTATGGGTTACCAGGGGTATGGGTTAGGAGGGTGTCGACTGTACTGCTCATCGATTCGGTGACAGAATCCCCAGGTAGCGGATCAATGGACAAAGCCCACTACCTCGGAGGGGCGGGCGTAATCTTGCATCGCACAGTACATCGAATGCACAAGACAAGGCCGCCTTCATCATCGAATCCGAGAATAGAATGAATGGGGACAAAATTGGATGAAGGCTGCACAAGGATGTGCAGGCTGGCGACTCGGTCCGATACTCGGTGTACAGCGTGCCACTGTCTAGAAGGCATCTCGTAATAATGTCCAGGGAGACAAAGGGTTGTAATTATCTTCGAGTCATTCGCATCTACCGTCTCTGCATGCGATCAGGCAGCCGCATCTTCATGGCTAAGTCCTGAGCATTCATATGGATACATTATGGAAACCCACTCACGTATCGCTCGTCACGGGGATGTCGATGATGAAGTAGTGTCAGTCAGGATCGTTGCAAGCTATTCGTGCGTGAACGGGTGTGTCACATTGTCTGCGCGGACGGTGGACTCGTGGCAGGGGGATAGACGCCGCTGCCCATGCCCGAACGCGGGAGAGTGGACGCCGGATGGCCTACATAGAATTCAGCGTCTAGCCTACCTCGTCCCTTCCTCCATCTCACATTGTCCATTGCTCGACCGCTTCGACCTGCAGCATACTAGGTAGCACTCATTTGGAGGAAGTGTCTTACCATGAACGTCTGGGTACGACTACGGACTTCTGTTACTTAGGCAGTTCGCTCATCGCGTGTTCAGACTGAGCACCGCAATCCGGAGGGTCGCACATATTGGTTCAACACCAATACGAGGGAGAGCGTATGGGAGAAACCAGACGGTGAGCGACCGTCGCATGTTGTCAGTTGTGGATCTAACTGTTTTCCAATAGATCTGAAGACTCCTTTCGAGGTATGCATATATTGGGCAAATCGGGAGGGAGTGTCTCACACAAAAGTTATTTTGCACTTGCAGAAAGCCCTCAATCAGACGAAGTGGAAAGAATACTTCTCGGGAGGACGGAAGTACTACTATAATGTACGTCTGAGCTTCTGTCTGCGGGAGTCAACATCTCACTTCTCCTGCTGTGTCCAGACGGAGACGAAGGAGTCAAAATGGGACATGCCAGATGAGTTGCTCTTACTTCTAGAGAAGGTCGAAAAGGAACGGAAGGCAGCGCCTCAGCCCGCCTTAGCACTTGTGTATGCACCCGTCTACTTCTCTGCTGCCACTAAGATCTCACTACACGTGTCTAGTCCAACCGGCGCACCCGGTGGCTTTGCCGCAGCAGGCGGCGCTGCTCCGACACAAGGTGCTCCCAACGCTCTCGCTGGGACTGACCCATCCTCATTCCCACCCGGTTCCCAGCCGCAACTCAACGGTCAGAATGGTGCCATAGGCCACCATACTGGCGTTCTTCCTTACGCCCCGTCGAGCGTACTCCCTCCACGCCCTAATCTGCCTGATGACCCGGTCATTCCTCACAACGGCTTTGCAACTGTGGAAGAAGGCGAGAAGGCGTTTGTTCACCTGTTGAGGAAGGCGGGCGTAGATGCGAACTGGACGTGGGATCAGACTATGAGGGCTATCATCACTGATCCCCTCTATAAGGCGCTGAACACGCTGGCGGAAAAGAAGGCGGCGTGGCAGAAGGTACGTCTTGCAGTTGCATAGTCTCCGTCCATTGCACTCAATTTGTGCACTTTAGTACGTGGATGGACTTCGGGCTAAGGAGCAGGAAGAGCGGGAGGCCCGTCTTTTAAAGCTCCGTCCATCCATCCGCAACATGCTGAAAGGAAATCCTAATGTGTTCCACTACACGACCTTCGCCACTGCTGACAAGCTGTTCGCTCAGCATCCAATCTGGCAGCAGGCAAAGGTTGAGGCAGAACGAAGACTCATCTTCGAAGAGTACGTTGCTGAGCTCAAGCAGCGCGAGGTGGTGCGTAATCAGTTTGATCGCGCTGCATGCAGCTCGAGTTCATCGAGTTTATCCTTTCGCAGCAAGAAAGCCGTGCTGCCCGTGCGCGAAGTATCTCCAAGATCGTAGCGTTGTTCAAGCGTCTTGACGTGGACGTCCTCACGAAGTGGCGGCAAGCACATCACATGGTGGTCGACTCTGACGAGTGGAAGGATGACCCTGAGCTGCAGCAGCTGCCCACCCTGGATATCCTCCTCGCCTTCGAAGACTACAGTCGAGTTCGTGAGCGTGAGTTTGAGGAGCAGATGCGGCGTCGCCAAGTTGAGAAAACGCGCCGAGAGCGCAAGGCCAGGGAGGCGTTTAGGGCGAGTTGGCTCCAGATCTTCCGTCACGCCAACAAAGGACTCATTTGTACGGTACAGGAATTGCTCAATGGGCTTGAGAAGTCGGGCGAGATCAAGGCACGCACCAAGTGGAAGCACGTCTACCCCACCTTCGCCAACGACAAGCGGTACCTTGACATGCTCGGTAACCCTGGCTCTAATCCAATTGAGCTGTTTTGGGACATCGTCGATGCACTCGATCAGAAGTTGGAGGCGAAGATAGCTATCGCGGAGGGCGCCATCAAGCGGTACAACAAGGACCTCGAAGACAAGATGAAGGAAGATGGCGACGCTACTGGTGCTGATGGCGCGGCGGCTGAGTCTAAGCCCTTTGAGGTCAGCTCGGAGACGACCGAGGAAGAGTTCCTAGCGATAGTCAAGGCAGATCCGGATGAGAGCATCAAGACGCTCTCGGACGAGGACTTGAAGGAAATATACCACTCCGTATGTATCATGTGATCGTTCTCCATCTCCACCCGCTGATTGTATGACTGGTTTAGCTGCACGATGTCGCGGTAAAGAAGCAGGCAGATGAGAAGCGCCGCGCGGAACGGAAGCAACGGCACCTCCAAGATGATCTTCGATACGCCCTCAAGAAGGTGCCCGAGCTTCACGACGCCAACCTGTCGTACGATGAGGTAAGCCGCCGGTTTTGCTGGTAGAACGTACATACTGAAGAGTGTCTTTCAGGCTGTTCCCTATATGCAAGAGCTTCCGGAATACAAAGCGATCGAGGACGACGAAGGGCGGAAGGCGGCGTTCGCGAAGTTCGTCAAGAGGCAGAAGGCAGGTTGATGCGATGACTTGCATGTAAGTTGTTTGACTCATCTGTATCTCGCACATTCACAGGAACGCTTGCGAGAGCGTGAACGTGAGGCGTCCGAAGACGGGGCATCCACTACAAGCCGTAGGAGGAAGGAGCCTGCAAGGGAACGCGAAGCTGATCGCGACCGCGAACGGGACAGAGACCATCGTGACCGAGATCGCGACAGGGAGCCTGAACGCGACCGGCACCACGACCGCGATAGCAGGAGTGACCGAGGTCGGGACAGAAAGCCTCACGACCACGACAGCAGTCACGCGCGCCACTCCGACAGGGACTACGCTCGGGACCGCGACTACTCAAAAGACAAACTATACAAAGACAGAGAACGGGAGCGGGACAGGGATCGGGACCGTGACCGCGACAGAGACTACTACAGCAAATCTTCTAGACACCGCGACCACGACAGAGACGATCGGCGCCGTAGCGAGCATAGGAGCGGCCGTGAGTGGGATGATGGTTATAGCGGACGCGACAGTGTGCCCCCGCACAAGGAACGAGAGCGGGAGCGAGGCGACTCCCTCTACCGCGAGCCGGATCCTCGGGATAAGCGTGATCGTGGCACGTACGAGGACCGGCCGCTCGATGAACGAGACCAGAAGGTATGCATCTCATTCGTTCTTACGTACTTACTACAGTGCCTTACACATTTATGTTCCATGCAGAGGCCACGTTACAGCGTGCCCCCAGAAGCTGCCACGGTTGTCACAGCCGAGCCGGTCGAGCCACCTCCGCGTGCTGAGACTCCAGAGGAAGGCGAGATATAATACGCAAGCATGTGTCATCGTGCCGTGGATAGATTAGTATGTCATGTATGCTATGCTGCTATGGGACCCATGAACGCGAGTAATACTATGACGATGGGTTCTCTACAATGTCAATGGGACCAATGCGCAGACGAGTGTATGTTTGCTTATGCCTGACGGTGCGCTCGTAACCCTTTCTCCTCTTCTTCTTGAAGATAACCTCCATCTTGCCCTTGGTATGCTCAACGACCGTCGCTTCCACCTTGACCTGCTCTGGAGGTATGGTAGGGTTGCCACGGATCGTGTACTCGCGTGAGCCGATCTCGTGGATGTCGGACAGCTTGAGGACGTCGCCGACTTGTACGTCGTTAAGACGTGGCACGGTCAGAAGGTCACGAGGTGTGAGGAGGTATTTTCTGCCGGCCAGGCTGGCAATCACGTAGTGAGATGGTTGTGAACGGAGCAGGGAAAGGGCATTGGGCGTCGTGGATGGAGAGCCGGTTTGCGTGTGCAGCGCGCGTGCAGCGACACCGCGCAGGGTTGCTGCAATATCAACATGAGTCAACATATGAATATAGGGCGCAGGACTACGCTGAAGGAGAACTCACGTCGCAGGAGAGAAGCCATTGCCGACGAGCGCGACAGCGGCGACCGCGAGGGCAATGGATGGGCTCGGGAGAGCCGGAATCGGGAAATTGGCGCGGCGCTCGAATTGACGTTATGTAAGGCAAACTTTGGTGACCCGGGTTGTCCCTACGGCCGAACGACATCTCATCCTCCCACTTTCCTTTCTCCTCCTCGAACGATGCACAGAGTCGCCCTCAGGAACTCCGTCCGCGCAGCTGCGCTGGCCGCTACCAAAGTGCGCTTTCAAGTTTGCCTATCATTTCCCCAAGTTTTTCCGTGCTCATTGGCACTCTAATTGAAACAGAGCGCTGCCCGCAGCACGCCTGCTGTTTCTCGTTCATACGCGACAGCAAAGGCCGGTATGTCTAGCCAGCTCATATTGTGTTTGCTTGCGTCTCACAAACTGTCTTTTCTCCTCTTTTACGCACGCGTTGCAATGATCTCACTGGGACACTCGTGACACGTCACGCGCAGCTGCGTCTGAGGTCTCTTCGATTCTCGAGTCCCGCATAGCTGGCACTTCCGTGGGCGCAAATGTGGAGGAAACCGGGCGCGTCTTGAGTGAGTGCGACGCGTTGGAGGGCATGACTAGAGCTGTCGCTGATTGACGTGTCTCCTGCAAGGCGTTGGTGACGGTATCGCACGTGTCTGGGGTCTCAAGAATGTGCAGGGTACGCCGCATCTCATCATGCGTACGCTGCCAGCGCATTGACACTGTATCTGTATCGTCGTCTACAGCCGAGGAGATGGTTGAGTTCTCTTCTGGTATTCGCGGCATGTGCCTGAACCTGGAGGCCGACAACGTCGGTGTCTCTATCTTCGGTAACGACCGTGCCATCAAGGAGGGCGACACCGTCAAGCGTACCGGCCAGATTGTCGATGTCCCTGTCGGCCCTGAGCTCCTCGGCCGTGTTGTCGATGCCCTGGGTAACCCCATTGACGGCAAGGGCCCCATCAAGACCTCTGAGCGCCGCCGTGCTCAGCTCAAGGCTCCCGGTATCCTTCCCCGTCGCTCGGTCAACCAGCCTATGATGACTGGTATCAAGCCCATCGACGCCATGGTTCCCATTGGCCGTGGCCAACGTGAGCTTATCATTGGTGACCGTCAGACTGGTAAGACCGCTGTTGCCATCGACACCATCCTCAATCAGAAGCGTTGGAATGAGGGCAACGAGGAGGACAAGAAGCTCTACTGTGTCTACGTCGCCGTCGGTCAGAAGCGTTCCACCGTTGCTCAGCTCGTTAAGACCCTCGAGGAGAATGACGCTATGAAGTACACCATCATCGTTGCTGCTACTGCTTCAGAGGCTGCTCCTCTCCAGTACCTCGCGCCCTTCTCCGGCTGCGCTATGGGTGAATGGTTCCGTGATAACGGCAAGCACGGTATGCAGAGTCATAAATATCGAGACCCTAGATAGCTTCAGCTGATCATCTTGGACATGTCCAGCCCTCATCATCTACGACGACTTGTCAAAGCAGGCTGTCGCTTACCGTCAGATGTCGCTGCTCCTTCGTCGTCCTCCCGGTCGTGAGGCCTACCCCGGTGACGTCTTCTACCTCCACTCTCGTCTTCTCGAGCGTGCTGCGAAGATGAATGAGAAGTTCGGCGGTGGATCCCTCACTGCCCTGCCAATCATTGAGACGCAAGGTGGTGATGTGTCCGCCTACATTCCGACCAATGTCATCTCTATCACCGATGGTCAGATCTTCTTGGAGGCAGAGCTCTTCTTCCGTGGTGTCCGTCCCGCCATCAACGTCGGTCTTTCCGTCTCCCGTGTCGGTTCTGCCGCCCAGACGTATGTAGAATTTGTAGCGGTGACGAATGCACTCACTGACTGATGACTTTTATAGTAAGATCATGAAGAAGTTCGCTGGCTCTCTGAAGCTGTACCTCGCTCAGTACCGTGAAGTCGCTGCATTCGCCCAGTTCGGCTCCGATCTCGATGCTTCCACCCGCTTCCTCCTCTCCCGTGGTGCTCGCCTTACGGAGCTCCTCAGTATGTAGCTGTGCCTGCAGTCGCAAGTGTCTTCGCTAACCCCTTGACAGAGCAGGGCCAGTACCAGCCCTTGGCGATGGAGATCCAGGTCCCCATCATCTACGCTGGTGTGAATGGTCTTGTACGTATCTTCAGATTCGTGGGGTTATCCTGCCTTAACGCCGCCACTGTTTTCAGCTCGACCCCATTCCCGTCGACCAGATCACCCGTTGGGAGGCTGAGTTCCGCGCTCACCTCACCTCCGCTCAGAGTGCCCTCCTCCAGGAGATCTCCAAGGGCCAGATCACTCCTGAGATTGAGTCGCAGATCAAGAAGGTCGTCGAGGACCACGTTTCTTCCTTCACCTCGTAAGCGAGACTAGACGGTAGACCGGCGACAAAATGTTATTAGCACTGCATTATCTTACCTACTATCATGTCTCACGTGCAATGGAGACGCGTACTATGCATAGTGGCCTAATCGTAAAATGAGCATGTGTGCTATGCGCATGAATAGTTGTAGCGAAGTGCGTTGTGTCCGAAGGTGAACAACCCCACACATTGAAGTCTTTTGGTATGGTATGGAATACGCTCACATTTGTTGGGAATCGACGCTCCTTACTGTAACTTTGAGACGGAATGCCACAGCGTGATCTCGAGACCGCCCGATTGAGCCAGGCTCCCATCTATTGCAATGGGAAATATACAGATGAAGTTGGCCCATAGGTGTTAGACCAGTGTGGAAAAAACATACAGTTCTGCCCAGAACTTCTAGTGTGATGGTGCACTCGTACAATTGGTAATCGACGTGCTACACCCGACCCAGGCCTTCTTCGCCACATTGTCAAGCTGTCCCGACACAGAGGGATCCTCTTCCTATTGCTCATCTTCCTCCTCGGACGGCGGATCATCGAACTCATAGTCGTCGCCGTCGATGTAGTCGTCCTCCTCGACCTCCATGGACTCCTTGAGCTATAGGGTGGGATATATGAGCTAATGGCCTGGGAGATCGAAGGAGCTGGTGAATGCCGCATACCATCTCAAGGAGTTCATGGCATTCATTGAGGTGAGCCATCACGATACCTTGACCTTCAGGGATAGAGCCGTCGACGCCAATGAATTTGCCATCCTTGCGCATGGAGTCTATCTGATGCAAAGCGAGCTGATACTGTCAGAGTCGTCAGTACATCGATGAGTAATATGGAAGCGTAATAGCACTCGACAGCAGTACGTACCGGGTAGAGGTCGCGCGGGCTGAACGGGCCGCCATACTTCAGAACCTCATTGAGACACTTTTTCACCGTCGACAGCTTGTTCGCCTACGAGACAGTGACGTCAGAGAGGGATGACGACTCATCGCAGGAACGGGGACTGACTATGGGCATCAGCTCCTCGGATACTGGCTCGCTCGATGAGAGTAGCCGGTATATGAGACCGTAACATCGCCGCAGGAGATATAACAGGACCTAACAATCCGAGTCGGGATCCGCTTGCAGGTGTAGTGGCTTGTGACTTACATATTGTCCCTCCGGTCGATTGCCGTCGGCGTCGACGAACTTGCCATCTACCCGCATCTTATCGATCTCCTGGAGACTGAGACTGTAGTTCCACAGATCCGTTTCGCGGAGACTCCACCGGTGCGTTAGGACCTAGCAAACGCCCGTCACCGCCGATCAGTAGAGGCTCGCGGGAAGACAATCGCACATCGAACCATGCCGGATACGGCTACGTACCAATTGCTCTAGCTCTTTCCGAATCTCGCTTAGTCGGTCATAGATGGGTCGCAGAGACGACGCAACATTCTTTGACTCGTCCTGCGCACGAATCTCTTGCACAATTTCGAAACATTCCTCCAGAAGAGAAGAACAGATAGCTTGGGAGGCTGGCACAGAGCCTCCAGGACCTAAAAACTTGCCGTCTACACGTTTCCTAAATATCGCACGCCACGCGAACCCACGTTAGGGGTGAAAGGTTGGAGATGCGGAGCGTCAGGATGTGCATGCTGGTAAGTAAAGAAAAATGTGTCACTCAACGAGTCGATTTTTCGCAACTCCTCCTGGATGGGCTTCAGCTCTGCCTTAACGCGAAGACCATCCTTGTCCCTGACTCCCTCTGCCGTCGCGACCCTGGGCGTAGGCGTGCTTTCGCGCGTTGGCGTCCTCGAGTTGGGTTCGCTGACAGACCCCTCGGGCTCGGTGTTAACGGCCTTGCCCTTGTAATCAGGCAATTCCGCCTTTGCCTGGGACCATGCAACCTCCCTTGCAGTTTCCTTGGCTGCAAGTGCAACGAGCTGTCTCCGAATGTTGACCAGTCGTTCATGGATGGGGATGAGTTCGGGAGAGAGCACGGCTAGCGAGTCCTGCATTTTGCGGAGGAGGTTATCTGGAAACGTGGCGGAGATCAGCATTCAGGACGCGCACGACTCGGTCGAAGGATGGAGGACCTGGAAACGTGGGTGTGACCTTCAGGAGATATTACCGCCAGAACAAGGTGAGGAGATCAACTGATGATGGGAGTTCGGGAGGCGACAGTGAGATCAGAACTCTAATGGATGATAGGACGTACGAGTGACCACGAAGGCGAGACATGCAACATGTGACGGGCAGGCGGAGACGGGGAGCAAGGAGAAGGGTAGCATACAATCACTTACCGCACTCATTGAGCTGTCGTTCGAGGAGCTTGGTCATAGCGGGAGGATGCTTTCCGCTCTCTACGTCGGCTTGTAGGATGTTCCTGAAATTCGAGATTGTGAGGATATTGTGCTATGTACTGAATACGTAAACATTATTGGCAGTTGCCTGGCCTGTACAGACTATCACTCCACGCATAACGACGCGAAAGCCTCGGCCTGATGACGGGATAGGACGAGAGACAATCAACTCACCGAAGCTCTGCTAGTCGTCGATGGAAGGGGGCAAGATCGGACTCATTGTAGACCCCTGACTCGTCCATATGGTCGAGGATACCCTGACAGAAAACGATGAGCATTGCCATTCGGTCATAACGAGCTGTCTGCTGGGCCGGAGCGCAACATGGTGCCAGCATCCGGGGAAAAGTGATGAAAAATGAGAGCTGCATGGTGGGCATGATGGAAATTTTGTCTGCGTCTGTCTGTTCACGGATACAGGCCTCTTTATACCCGCCAGAATACGTTGTGCTTCGTCGCAACGCCCCGCATCCGTCACCTGTGAGGGCAAAGATCGGTTGCTCGCCCGTACCTCCGAGTTCTGAAGCCACAGAACACAACAGAAGGCCGACCGAGCTCCAAGCGAGACAAGTAAAACGGGCGCGGCATCTTCGCTGTTCGCAGATCGTCATTGTATGGTAATCGCTAGCGTTCCGGAATACGCCCGCGTGGGTCGCCAGCTCCCATGAAAAACTCCGAAAGACGTGATTGGCAGGAACAAGTCTGTCCGTAGGTGGCCTAGGAGGGCCCGTACTCGCAATCAGGGCAGCCTTATCTCTCTCGCTTGCGCATGTCCGGGACCCGGGACGAGAGAAGACATCCAGGAGTGAGGAGGCTTTCATATGAAAGAACGTTGCCGCTGGCCGAGCTGGTTGCAAGACAACTCAACAAAGCGCTCCCTTTCTATTCTCGACGGGAGATCGTCGCAACTATGTACCATTCAGGAGATGCTTCGAGACAACATCTTTTCAGCCACCCGGATAAGCAATAGACGTAACATTTCCACTTGTTGTGGTAGAGATGGCTTCATGGAGTCAAGCTGAACTTCTTGTTTCGCCACAGGCAACTAGTCCCATAGGCGAGAGAACAATGCAGTCTCCGTCAACAAGCAGATGTCATGACAAAGACTGAACTATCCTCTTGGACGCGAAAATAGCATACGGCTAGTACGGCGGAAGCCGGAAGGCATCGTAGTTCTCAAGACTGTATTGCGCTGCGCAGACAGCCTCGTAACTTTAATGTCTGCGCAGACTTCCGCGAGTGGCTGGGAGAACATCCCTTCTTACGGACTGCCGTTGAACCGCGCCGCGAGCTGCGAAATCGTAGATGTCTCGCCAGATAAGGCAGGTTGGCCAGATCCCGCCTCGGCGATTGGAAGAACTACGCACTGATTCCCAGAGTTGTTATTGGCATAGCGAAAACGACTCACCCGCATACTCGCAACCTGGCTGTACGTAGCCGGGCATTCCCGTGTCTTTCCAATGGTAAGGAAGAAGAGGGAAAGGAGATTGAAGACGTCCGCGAGAGTAGTGTCCAGGCGGTTGTTGTACGTGGTATGATCGTCGCGAACCTCGTTCAAGCGCGTCACTGCAAACATCGATGTCCGAAACGGGGATCGCGAGGCATGCGGCAGGCGTCAGGGCGTCAGATAGCATCGTATTCGTGCATTGGCGTTCCGACCCGAAGGGCAAGCGCGTGAGATTGGCATGGCAGATGAGAGCACGATCGTAGACGAAAGGAGGCAGACTGGACCGACCTTGCTTCACAATCATCTGGTACAGTTGGTATACATCCGACGGCTTGATGAACTCGCCTCTGTTCTTCTTGAGCGCGGTCAGTCGGTTCCGGATGCTGAATAACAAGCGAACGCGCGCGGGGGGCACGGAGCCACGGAGGGCGGCACATCAGAAATGGTCTGGGAGAAGAAATGGGAGGTCTGGAAGGGACGCACTTGATGACGGCCTCCAGGATAGGCAGCTCTGACCGATGCCGAAACATGAGGAGATCAGCTTCGTCTCTAGCGTGGACGGGCTCGTGCCTACCTTCCTGAGCCACCGGCGCAGACATGGCTGCAATATAGGACGGATCGAAATCAGCCGGTCAAAGGGGGTCCTTCTAGGGGTCGTGGTGCAATTGCAGACGGATTTGTTGGGGTGAGGGACGAGGAGGATGGTGACTCCTCTCGAAAGACGGACAAGGATTGCAGGCGAGACTCCGGCCGGCTTTCTCTGTGGGGGTTCTACACGTGACGCAATTGGTCCACAAAGGGAAGGAGGTTTCCACGGCTGATACTTTATCAGTCCTGTTCAAGCCCTAGCCCTACACAGCACAGCACTACTCGAGCCCGCCCTTCATTCCACCGACCACCCACTCAGTACCAGCTCATCATCAGTCATGGACAAGATCCGCGAGGTGCGCGCCCAGCATCTCTGCTAATCACAGAAACGTTTCGTTGAGCAGATCGCTGCAATAGCGCTTGGCAGCCCTCCGTGCAGAGGCCGACAACGCGGTCGCGCGCGCCGACGAGGCAGAGGCCAAGAACAAGAAATACGAGCAGCTCCTGCTCGAGAAGGAACAGGAGATCACCTCTCTCCAGCACAAGATATCTGTCCTTGACGCCGATCTCGAGAAGACAGAGGCGAAGCTGGCAGACTTGAAGTCGGCACAGGAGGACGGCGAGCAGAGCAAGACTGTGAACGAGGGTCTCCAGCGGAAGATCCAGCTGCTTGAGGAGGAGCTTGACGCTGCAGATAAGAACCTGAAGGAGGCTATGGACAAGTACGTGTCCCAACTCGACCTTGATAGGCATGGGGCTAACGCGTGTACCTCTCATCGGCTAGGCTGCGACAGGTCGATGTCAAGGCGGAACACTTTGAGCGACAGGTTACGCGTCTTGAACAGGAGCGTGACCAGTGGGAGAAGAAGTACGAGGTACGTAACATCATCCTTGCTTTTGGTCAAGGACCGCAAACGTAATCCCGGTCCACTACATCGCTGTCCACTTACGCGCCTCCCCATATCCAGGAAGCGAACGAGAAGTACCGCGAGTCGAAGCGCGAGCTCGACGAGCTCGTTACCAGCATGGAGGGTCTCTGATATCCCAACGAACTGCAATGTACCATACACCAATTTTCGATGTCCTGGACGAGTCTCGCCATGTGCATCACTGGCGACGCTTTGTCCAGACGATGTGTTACGATCGCTGTCACGATCTCATACCTCTTACAATTACTCTACACGCCGGTTTGTTAGGCCATCTGCTTGCATGTGTATAGTGACCGCAATGAAATGGACCAGTGAAGTCTGAGATCTAGCTTGATAGATCCCGTTTATCCCGAATTCCGAACGGCACGGACAGATAAACTTGTCGTTCCGCGAGGTCCATGATATTACAGTCACCTGCCACAATAAGGCGTTCGGTTACAGATTCTGGACTACTCCTTCCTCTCCTCAGAAAAGTTCAAAGAGATGGAGTTGACGCAGTGCCGTTCGTCGGCTGAAGCGGGATCAGTGTTAATTGATATTTGAGAGGCAGCCACACCAACTTACTTGGGGTCGGGAAGCCCTCGCCTTTGAAGACATGGCCAAGATGGCCCCCACAGGCTGCACAAGTGATCTCCGTACGTGTCATACCATACGAGCGGTCCTCATGACGGTTCACCGCGCCCGGTATAGCTATATGCGCGCGTAAGCTCGAAATCGGAGTTGATAAGCGCAAATATAAGGACAGACCATCAAAGAAGGCGGGCCATCCGCAGCCGCTGTTGAACTTCGTCGTGCTCTTGTAAAGAGGGGTGCCGCATCCTGCGCAAGTGTAGACACCTTCTTCGCTAAACTTGTCGTACTTGCCAGTCCCGGCGGGCTCAGTGCCTTTCTGACGAAGGATGCGAAACTACAAGTGCCAAGTCAGGACCAGAGGCCTATTTCTCATGGCGAATTTGCACGAACCTGTTCGGGGGACAGAATTGCCCTCCACTCGGAATCGCTCTTCTGCTTGGTAGGATCTGACATTGCTACTTGGGTCGTATGGAGCGTTCGATGCCGGTTAGAGGTGCTGTGAGTGAGTAGTAGCGGAGATCGCAGGCTAGTTATAATGCTAGAGCGTCCTCCACGGGCTGTACACGCGAACAAGGATGACCTTACGGGGTTGAGAGCAATCGCAGATGTGGTTGCAAAGCAAAACATAGCATATGTCCTGATCACTAATTTGCACGTCTTCCCAGCGCACTTCCGCACGTCGGCGTCATAGCACGTGTCCCCGATCGTCCAGATTCAGTCACGTTTGCGCACCGCCATTGGGGTTGCGAGGCAACCGCTCTGCAAGTTCGACAACCGAGCACACCATCGCCATGTGGACACCTATCCGTAGCCAGCATGTTGACTAACCACCACAGCTCCATACAACATATACCGTGATTTCTCCAGCCACCAATGTACGAAGTGTACACACAATCCCAGGACAGGTTTCCATCCACACTAGGGTCGGGTAGCGTTGACCGAGTCGGAGATAGTGGGAATGTTCTGGAATACATCCTTCTCACGCGGATGGAAGCTCTTAAGAATCCGGCATTGTAAGTTACCCAGCCATATCTACTGTATAGTGTTGACAGGTTCGTCGAAGCCCACGCATCGGCTGGACGTCCCTAATAGCAGCGCAGCGTCGCATCGCTTGAGATGCCTCTACCATTGAGAGACAGACCGGTCATCGCAATATGTGACTGATACATAAACACACATACCAATCAATCCTGCGTCGAAGGAATGGGAAACAAACATGCGCAGTAGGTTGGCCGGTAAGTTCCCAAGACTAGCTGCCATTCCTAGCGGGGTACAGACAACCAGTGGTCGATGAACGCTACCCATGATCTAACTGTTAAAGATATTACAAAATCTCGACCTGCTGAGCAGAAATATCGGTCATTTGGACCCATTTCATGATGTACTATTCTCCCGATCTAGAGCCACCCTCGCTCCTCATATTCTTTGAGCAGATCCTTAATCATCTCCTCCTGGGTGCGATACCCCAGTCCGAGGAGCTCCTTCGCCTTCGCCACATTGGTCCTTGCCATATAGGGAGCATCGGGATTGTATGACTCGATAGGAGGATACGTCTTGCCCCCCGAAACTTCGTGCGCTGTGATAACTGCAAAGTGGTTAGCACGTCATGCCGGGCAAAACGCCATTGCTTCGAGTACTCACTGAGATCTTCCCACCTGAATGGGCCAGCAGCGACGATTATCCTCTCACCGCCCGCAGGCGGCTTAGTGACTGCGAGCAGGATCGCCTGCGCGAGGTCGCGTACGTCGATAAATGCAAGGCTACAAGTGAAGATTCAGTGTCTCCCATTGCTAGAGTTCTCTCGGTTGAATCAAGTACTCACTCAACAGGAAAGTACTGGCCCTTCACGACTGCGTCATAAACGAACTTATTCGAATCATTTAAGTCGTCCGGTCCCCCCTCGTCCTTGTGGACAACCGGCCCGAAGACCCAAGGCGGACAGAGCGAGACCAGGTCCCATCCGATCACCCCCTTATCCTTATTCTCTTTCCAAAACTCCCATGCGCTGCGCTCCGCGAGTGTCTTGCTTGCGCAGTACATAGAGACCTGCGCAGCCGCGCGACCTTCCCTCTGACAGACGTCCACATCGTGCTGGTTCCAGTCGTTCTCGTCATATACTCTCGGCTCGGTCGCTGTCCGGTTCACAACGGCGGCGCAGGAGGATATATAGACGACCCGCTGGACCGAGTGCACTTTGGCAGCGGAGCGGAGGACACCGAGGGTACCGTTGACGGCAGGGATAATCAGTTCGTCCGGGTGGTCTACGTCGAGGCCTACGGGGGAAGCGATGTGAACGACCGCGTCCACGCCTACAGTGGCCGTGTCAAAAGCTCCTTCCTGAGTATTGAGGCCGATGAGGAATGTCATCAGTTTCCTCGACATGCGATGATAGTGATGTAGAAGCAACAACGTACCTTGGTGATATCTGGGATGATTACGAACTCGAGCCTGTCGCCATATGCGCCAAACACCTTCTTGAGGTAGGATGCTTTGCTTTCGCTACGGACGGGAGCTCTGACAGTGAAGCCTGACTGGAGGAAAACCTTCAGCGCCCACGAACCGACGAAGCCGTTCGTTCCGGTTATGAGCACATTGCCGGTTGAGATGGCTGGCATGTTGAGTGAGTGTAATGGTGTGCGTAAGCTACGCAATAGGTGTGTAGGCTACCCATCCGGATATCGTTGTCGTTCCTTAAGTATCTTCTTCGTGGCTGGTGTCCAGAACCACAATTGAGCGTTGCTACATGCTACATGCTATCTCCGAGCGGAGATAAGTACTGAAAACAGAGCAGTGTGGGAGGGGACTGCCATGTAACCCGCCACGCATGCGCCATTGTGCATGCATCTAGAACATTTGCCATGTGCGCCGATTGATCTTCACGGGCGCATTTCCCATCTATTCATCGAGTATTGCCCAACGATGTTACGGCTGCAATACGCGATGGGTCACCGGTCAGCAGGAAGTCAGACCGTCGGCCGGGGATTAGTGGGGACGCCACGAACCGGAAAATACGTCTTTGTCAACATGATGATTCAGGGTTCGCACGTAGGATTTGTGTTTAGTATCTGGGATCTGCCTAGACAGGTATCACTATAGGCTGATGGTATCAAACGGGACCGGGAGTGTTGAAAGCCGATGGACGTCTCCTTGCGCGGCCGCCGGATATGTCGGACTCGATAGGAAGAGAGCCACCATTTACTTGACACTGCCGGAGACAGCTCACTTTCTCGAAGTAGACAGGAGCCGCGCGCTTCGTGCAGAGACCTGCATTTCGTTGCGGATGGACTTAAGCGGAAATGAAGGAAATGAATCAAGAGGTATGTTAGAATATGACGTCATGTGCTTTAGGCGCCGACGTTAGGATTCGCTCATTGTACGGTATTCTGTCTCCCCATCCATTACATCCACCATCTCTATTCCCTCTTGTGCAAGCAAACCGCATCTAGGGGTTTCAGACTATAACAGAGTATCATTCGCCAGATGAGCTGGGTCGCTTCGAGCAGGTCCCCGTATAGCAATGTAACTCAGCACGCGTTATACGCGGGACTAGTATATTGTAATACCTATAGCAATGTAACTACAGCGTATTAATCAGTATGAGTACGTAGAATAAGTAACAAGCATATGCTCACCTCAGCACGCGTTATACGCGGGACTGAGGTGAGCCAACGTGAATCGAAAGAGTTAAGTACACATTTGTAACAAGACGTCCATACTACAAGATGAGTGAGACGTGGCATTCGTAAACAAAACGGGGTGAATCCGCCAAGGCGGGACAAGGCGGGACAAGGCGCGTCAACGGCGCGACAAGACTTGTCCGCCCGAAACACGGCCGAGGCTCGCACCACGCTTGCCTCGCCGTACGCACTCCAACACTCCCCCTCAAGCAGGTGCGAGACCAAGGGCGGCAGCAAAATGTTTGACCTTGACGGAGGGGAGCGCCTTCGTCAGGATGT